GCGTCCTGCAAGGGCCCCACATTACCTGGGGCCTTCTTTTTACTCCCTATGTATTTAAAAAAGGACTTCTTGTTGTCCTTAATCCGGGAAGCTAGTCCCAGTTCCATCTCTGCCTTGGCCTTCCTAACTACCCCCCTACACCCCCGAGCAACTGCCGAATAGCCCTCCTTGGTGAGGACCCCTCTTTTCCATTGGGAGTAAGCCTCCTTTTTAGCAAGGAGACATTCCTGGATGTTTTTGGTGAGCCATGGAGGCTTGTATGCTCTCCTGCCCCCTTTGATCCTCGTCGGGACTACCTTCTTTTGGGCTTGGAGGATCGTCTCCTTAAGGAGCGACCACTCCCCTTGAACACCCGGCTCTCCTCCCCTCTGAGACTTCAGCACTCCTCCAGCTATCCTCCTTAGCTCGTTGAAGTTCGCCCTCCTAAAATCTAGGGCCACAGCCTGACTGCTTGCCTTTGCCACCTTGCGCTGAATGGTGAATTCCAGCAGGCAGTGGTCACTGTCGCCCAGGGGGTCAAGCACCCGCAGCCCCCTCACCAGGTCGTCGCCCGTGGCCAACACCGAGTCCAACAAGGCATCCCTCCTGGTGGGGCTGTGCACCTCCTGGGTTAGATGAAGGTCCTGGACTCTGTCTAAGAACCTACGGGAGCACTCAGACCTGGCTGACTGCTCCTCCCAGCAGATGTCTGGGAAGTTCAGGTCCCCCATGACTACCACACGCTTAGCCTTCGCTACCTCGGTGAGCTGACCCAAGAATTCCTGGTCAAGCTCCTCTCCTTGGTTGGGTGGTCTATAGTAAACTCCCACCGTTAGGTCCCTTTCCCCTCTTTTGCCTTGAACCCTAACCCAAAGCACTTCAGAGTGCTTCTCCCCTGACTCTTTACTAATTAGCGAGGATGTGTATTCCTCCTTGATACAGAGTGCCACTCCCCCCCTCTCTTTCCTAACCTGTCCCTCCTGTACAGGAGGGTTGTACAGCCCTCCCGTACAACCCTCTAATAGTCTAGAAGTTCTTATTTGAAATGTTTTAAAAGAAGGTGCCTAAAAGATGAGTTTTGGTAGCACTACAGGAGGAAGGGGAAATGCATTTTTCTTGCGCTTTGTTTATATATAATCACAGCAAGCTTACAATTTGTCAGAGATCAAATAGAAGGATTTTTGAGGAAAAGAGATCTTAAAAAGTTAAAGAGCAGCATTTTGTTGAGAAGCTCAGACCCTGCAGCATGAAGTGTAAGCGTACCTACCAAGATGATAGGTACTTCCTGGGGATGTCAACCTGAAACCTTTAGATCAGGGGTTAGCAACCCCCTGCATGTATGCCAGAACATGGCATGCGAAGACATTTTTGTCTGCCCGAGGTGTGCATGCCAAGTTACAGGGAAGGGGCTGGGGCTGTGCTGCCACAACAAGGACTGGGCCTCTTGTAGCTGGCCCCGCCTCCCTCCTGCCATTCACCTCAAGGCACATGTGCACCTGCTGCTGGTGACAAGCTGGGCCAGGGCTCTGTGGACTGCGGTGCAGCTGCTTGCAGCCTCCCCGCCACCTGTCGCAAGCAGCCTGGCCTGCATGGCAGGCGGCAGGGACCTTTCCAGAGTGTGGGCCACCTGGCAGGCAGCTGGGAAGCTGCAAGCAGCTGCACTAGGGTCTGCAGAGCCCAGACCCAGTTGATCGCTGGTGGTGGATACATGCACACCTGGGGCGGGTGGTGGGGAAGATGTGTGGGGCCTCCTCATAGTTGTGGTCGCGCAGCCCCGGCCCCTTTCCCACTGTCCTCCCCAAAGCATGCATATGTGCACCTGCCACTGGCAACAAGTCGGGCTGGAGCTCTGCAGATGGCGCAAGGCTCCACCCACCATGGAGCCCAGACTGCTTGCAGCAGGTGGCAGGGAAGCTGCAAGCAGCTGCGCTGGTGTCTGCAGAGCCCTTACTCATTGCCAGCAGCAGGCACATATGCGCCATGGGCAGGGTAGGGGCCCCGACTGCACTGCCACAAAGATCAGGCCCCTCAGGACTCCTCAGCCATCCATTACTAGCACACCAACATCTTCCAAATAGAGGTTGTGGGTGTTTTTGGTGCACTGCCCAAAAATGTTGCTGACCCCTGCTCTGGATCTTATGTCTTTGCTTGAACCTGCAGGACATGTAAAAATCTCTCAAAGTAGTTAATTGCTAAGTTGAATGCTTATACCAATACATTGATCTATTGTAGAAGTTTAAGTAAAATTTTAGACTGATGGAGACTTCCTTTTGTAATAGACCCTAAGCTCTTACAACTGTAACAAAGAACTTACATACTAGAGGGTTGTGCATTGTTGCAGGGGGAGTGTTGTTTAAGCAAGGAAGACCCCAGATCTTCAGTCGTTGACTTGAGCTTGTTTATGGTTTTGAAGTGGTTGGAAATATTCTTTGTTGTTCTGAAATAAGTAACATGAGGAAAACAATTGAATAAAATATAACATCACCCCTTTTCTTTTCAGATATGAGAAATGAGTGTTGGACGCAGAAGATTAAAGCTGTTCGGAATTCTAATGATGGTAAACTTTTTTATTTATGTAATTGTGGAAGTTTCAAGAAGTGGTGGCCACGAGAAGACTGCAAAAGGACAGGTTGTTATACCTACCAGCAAGTTCTGGAGGAAATATACCCCTCACAAGGCCTATTGGAACAAACAGCAACAGAAGCTTGATCTCCTGTACAACCCCATTTTAACCTTGCTTTCCAATATGACTGTAGAGGAAAGTTTGATTTCAAATGCTAGTGTTCTGAATGCCTGTGATCCTGACCCATCAGTGACTTCAGAGGTTAATGACTTTGCAAATTTGCCAGACAGATTTAAAGATTTTCTGTATTATTTGAGATGTAGAAATTACTCATTACTAGTGGATCAGCCAAACAAATGCAAACATAAACCTTTTCTGCTGCTGGCTATCAAGTCACTTATACCACATTTTGATAGAAGGCAAGCAATTCGGGAATCTTGGGGGAAAGAAATTAAATCGAGAGGTATAACAGTAGTGAGGGTCTTCTTACTGGGGCAGACCCCACCAGAAGATAACTTTCCCAACCTGTCAGACATGTTGAAGTTTGAGAGTCAAACTCATAAAGACATTCTTCTTTGGAACTATAGAGACACTTTCTTCAACTTGACTCTGAAAGAGGTGCTGTTCCTTAAATGGGTCGCTAGCAGTTGTCCAGATGTCCAGTTTATCTTTAAGGGGGATGATGATGTTTTTGTGAATACCCATCAGATCCTGGATTACTTGAAGAGCTTATCAAAGGACAAAGCCAAAGACTTGTTTATAGGTGATGTGATCAAAGATGCTGGACCTCATCGAGAGAAAAAGTTGAAGTACTACATCCCAGAAAGTGTTTATGAAGGTTCTTATCCTCCATATGCCGGAGGTGGTGGGTTTCTGTACTCTGGTGACTTGGCATTGAGACTGAATAATGCATCTGACCAGGTACTTCTCTATCCTATTGATGATGTTTATACTGGAATGTGCCTTCAGAAACTTGGGCTTGCTCCAGAAAAACACAAAGGCTTCAAAACATTTGATATTGAAGAGAAATACAGGAATAACATATGTTCCTATACAAGCTTAATGTTAGTGCATAGCAGAAAACCTCAAGAAATGATTAAGATTTGGACACACTTACAGAATCCACACTTAAATTGTTAATGCGTTAAGTAATGTGTATAAGTGTCTTAAGTCCAAATACTTCTTTTCTAAGTTTGGGTCTGATTTCGTCTCTGAACTATTAAAAGTCCTTTGTCTTCATTAGTTAGAAACTTTTTTTGTCCATACTTCAAAAAGTGAGAATGGTAATGTAATAACTTTTGAGGGTATTATGTGAAGACTTGGTCCTGATCTTTCCACTGTTGCAGTGGTCATTATGTTTCAAACTTGCCTAAGAATAAATTAAAATAAACTTCAGAAGTTTTAACACCCAAATCATTGATTTGGTTAGCGGTTTGTAATGTTGGAAGTATGGAGTTACCCACTTAAAATTGCTGTTGCATCTTTCATTATTGGTGATGGGAGATGTAAACTATTTCCATGAAAGATGCTGCCTGAATGAAATAACAACATAACTTGCAAATTTAGAAATCAGAGGAAATCGAATGTTATTTAAATGCTTTAATGTTACCCTTATTTACTCTCCCTGTGTCCTATCCTACAGTATTTTCTCATTTAAATGTGATCTGCTGTGCAAAAATGTGTCTATTGAAGTCTGGAGGATTTTCCCTTTTTTGAGTAGTGCTTTTTCTTCAATTTATTTTATTTATTTTTTTAAGCACAATATAACTTCAAAAGGGATAAAACTTAAAAGAGCTCTGAACATGCAAGGAGAAGGAGAGGTATCATCTTGGCAATAGGCACAGTTTTGTTTCTGACTTTTTCAAAGCATAAATGATATTTTAAATGGTTTTGTCACTCCTATGAAAGGCTACTTGGTCCATCTTGTTTTCTGTATTGGCTCCAAAACCCTTACCAAGTAGCTTGATTTGATACTGAACTGTGAAATTGCACTTAGCTTATAAAAATTTGGTTTGGATCTCTTCTACAAACTGGTAGCAAATCTAGAATTGTGCAGATCTTCTTAAATGTTTCAAAATTTAAAACTGAAACTTAGAAGTTGCATGATGTCTCATGTAGGGTTAAATGTTCTCAAAACTCAGAATCTTTTTTTTTTCTTGCTGTTTCCTCATTTTGCTTATATGAGAGTTATTCTAATAGCGACTGCTTCCTTTGTATATGTAGAAGTGCCTGTCTATTTATTGTTCAGATTGAAGACCAAAACATTTTCTTAAATATATTTTGTGTAACATTTTATTTGTATAGTGTTGTCACTCAGATATTTAAATAGAGCATGATATTTTAAATCTGAGCTGTGTAACATATGTTAAATAAAGCTAATTGTTATTTTTGAATTTGAAAAATAAAATGTGATTTAAGTAGTTCTTGTATATCTCCTTCTACATTTTAATACAGACCTGTGGAGCTATCAAGCTGTTAAATGCATAAGAAACCATAAAAAGCTATTTTAAAGAACTTCTTAGGAATATCAAGTTGTTTATTCAGTATATTACTGTTTGCATTCTAGAATGCAGTAGAGATGGCAGAAAGACCTGCTGAGTCCTAATTATGTTTTAGCTTTCTAAGTACTTAAACTACAATTAGGCTGAGACAACATCAAATAGTAAAGAGCAAAAATAATGAACCCCTTTTTAAAACCCCTAGGAAAAACTGCAGCGTTAGAAATAGGGAATTGTTTGTACCCATTTCTGTACTGTGGCAGGAGGGTGCCGGGAGTAGTACAAAGAGGCAAGGAAATAGGATTAAGGCTTGGTAGCTAATCCTGCCCCTTATTTTTGTTGTTTAAAAAAAACTGCTTTCCAGCTATAATACTTATTTGAACTCTTGTTCTTTCCCTCCTTGAAAGAACAGATTTTATGTCCTGTTGTCTGTCCACTCCCCCCCCCCCAACCCCTTGCATACGCACTTGAGGCTTCCAGAGCAAAATAGTCAATAATGGACCTCCAAGGCTGTTGCAAGGGTCCCAGAGTACCTGAAATGAAAGCAGCAAATAGAGAAATACCCAGGGCTATGAGGAGTGAGTTGCGACAGGGAACTGGAGATCAAAAAGAAGATGAGAAAACAAACTGCAACTACTTGAGGGTAAGCAACACTCTTCCCCCCTCCCCCCGCTCCCAATTTTGTTAATTATATTGTAGTGTTGGTGTGCTATGTACTATAACACATACAACTGAACAATTAAATTGGTCATACATTTTGTTACAAGGAGAATGTTTAACAAGATGTAAGTTTGAAGGATTATGGGGCGAAGATGAACAGAAGTGAGTAGTTAGCAGAAAGACAACCAAAATGCACAGTATTACTGACTTTAAGGTAGTGGAGCAGATCATTTGCTGTAGTGGAGGAAGGAGCAGCATGGGAAATGCAGAAATGAAAGCTATCTTAAAATCAAAATAAGTAAATAAACAAGGGTGGAAATGGGTTTAGCCGTGATAAAAACCTATGGGCAGCATGAAGAAGTTGGACCTTACTCAGATAGGAAAACAAAAGGAGTGGCACGACTTGAACACTGGAACAATTGGTCTCCTTAGAGGGACAGGCAAAGAAGGTGTTTGGCTGCAGCTTAATGAATGGAACATGGTAGGAAGAAAGGAGGCGGCATTATTTCCCTGGTGGATATTTTACTCTGCCAGATTCTACCATTAGGACCCACTGGTTTCTTGTCTATTGGGCCCTTGTCCTTAAATCCATCCTTGGGGAAAATGGGATGGGGGAGAAAAGGACAAATAGCAAAACAGATGCCAAAAAGGAAAAAAAAAAAAATATTTTTTTTTAAATGTTGAAAGTGCCCTACCATTTTCAGAGTTGTTGGTTGTAGCCATGTTGGCCTAACGACATAGGCAGGCAAGGTTCATTTACATGCATTAGTTTTGTGCTGGACCGAAGCCAGGCAATGCGTAATCCAGTTGGATGGATGCCTGCTTTTTTTTTTTTTTTTGGTCAAGTCAGATTCTTTTGCCAGTATACTTGCTGGACTAGCTGCTGGCTTTATATGTTCATCCCCCCCCCCCAATTTCCACTAACAAGGGTAGTTGTTTCCTTGTCAAATCTTGGTACCCCCTGCAGTGGATTTTTTTCCTCCCTTCCACACCCCACCCTGGAATTTTTTACTTCTTTTTTCCAAGATTTGCAAGCTTTGAAATGAAATGCAGCACTTAAAGGGCTAGTGATAAAGAAAATCCCCTGATTGTGAGGGATTGGGTTATTGCTAGAGACACTAAAGACCAGATCTAAAGGTTTTAGTGTTCAAAAGTGCAGGCAAGTACATAGCAGAATGAATGAATACAAAGTGCCTAAGTGAGTTGAGTACCTAACTTCAGTTACTCTTAAAAATCCTGGTAGGCACCTTCATACTTCTGTAAATCTGGCCTTGAAGGATCATGCATTTGTTCCCTTGGACTCTGCTGTATCTTTTGTTTTGTTGGCTAGTTGATTAGGCTTTTGGCATGATACCTGAACTTTAGCCTGCCTGTCCTCCAGAACTACCACGCCTCCAGTCTGAGCAAGTTTGCCATTACTATGGTCTGGCAGGGTGTGACTACATTACAGAGCCATGATAGAACCTCCGCTGCCAGCCTAATCCCCCATCAGAAAATGGATCATGCTACACCTTACAAACAACTTAAATCAGTTCTTGTACAGGACATCTTTGAGGATGACTGGGGACAGGATTTCTTTTGTCTTAAGATTTCAGGGAAAGTCTTAAAACTTATGAATTGGATCATGACAAAAAATGGAAATTTGTAAATGCCCCACAGAACATATGATAGAAGTCTGTCTCATTGCTTTTTATTAACCTTGGCCCATGATTTTTTTTGCTAAAATCTAATAACACTTTTTATAATATTTGTCTTGGCCAAAACTTGTGCAAAGAAGTCTCAGACCTGGTTAGTAAACCAAGTAATTTACTTTAAACTAGAGACAAGCAGAATGGCAGCTAATGTGTTACTTAGACATGCCTGTATATGATGCACCAGCCATTTACATGTGGCTCTGTTTAACTCTCTTTGTAGAGATGCAAGTACTAATTATGCCAGTGCTCCCAGCAATTCTGGGCTGCAGGGTAGGTAAATTGTACGGGGTTGGTCCACAAGCAGGCATGGCCCCAAACTCGTGCCTGGTTGCATCTTGAGCCATATGCCAGATGAGGTTTATGGCTGTGGCCTGATCCAGTGCACAAAGTATGTCATCTGGCCACAAGGTTTGGAAATTTGGTGGTGGGAAGCAGTGGCACTGTTATTGGCCACTGCTCCCCAGCCACCAAATTTCTAGGGTCGCAGGAGCTCCTTGCCTGCATAACCTTTTCTAGACGAGGCAGGAAAAATGAAGACTTCCTGTGCTTTAAAGGGATGTATAATGGGAGAAAACTATTACTGGCAACTGCCTATGATGCAATTCCCATTTGAACCCCTAGCCTTCCCTCTCCAGACTTTTCCTCCTAGTATAATTTGCAATGCTCAGTGAGATCTTCCATTCACTTCCCACTGCCAATCCTCTTGCTTGAACACCGTCTCTTTCCTCCCTTTGAAGTAGCTCACTTGCCACCCTCTTTCTCTCCCCATCTTCCTCCCCGACTGTCCAGTCTTGTGTGACTTCATCCAGAACTACTCCTTTGTTCTTGTCTTCTCTTCCCCTGTATTGTTTCAGTTTTTAGCACTCTCCAATGTCCTTGATTCTATGTACCTTCTTATCCATTGCAGGGGTCACTTTCCCTGGGTCATTCTGGCTGACAGGCTGAATCAGACCTAGATTCCAAAACAGTCTTCTACCCTAGCACTAGAATACCTTACCTCATGTAAGGGCCTGATTCTGCTCCTGATGAATGGGATTTTGCAGGAATAGCAGAATAGAATTTGACCCTCTCTTAGTTGTGTTTGGGCAGACTAAACTGTTTGAAGCTCTCTAAAGCCTTGAACTTTATGGGTGTTAATTAATGCCTTCAGGTTAAAGTAATGATAGAAACAAAGTTGCATTGTTTATATTAGAAATTAATTAACACAATTTTATAGCCCAAAGTGGATTGTAACCTTCATTTTACAGTAGTTCAAGGTGACTCCTATTTTTTGCTCATGAAGTTAAAACCAGTGAGAGGCTATCATTGTCATTTATTTCCTACAGACAATATTGCTTTGGAGAAGCTTGGAGATAGGAGTTATTTTTAATGCCTACAGAAACTGTCAGGCTACCTGTCAAAGCTGAAGGCTGCATAGGTAAGTGAATATAACATTTATTGGAATTACAGGATTCTTTTGCATGTTACTACTGAATTTTGTCTGCTTTCCAGTTTTTAGGTGTTAATACTATGCGGGGGGTTGTGTGTGTCTTGAATTCATAGTTCCTCCTGTCTACTCCTCCCCTTTCAAAAAAACATTTCTTTCAGATGAAAATGTTCTGTCTGTTTTGGGATGCACAGATGATACTATGAGGCCAAACAATGAAAGTAAGTTCCATCATTAAGGAGACCCCTACAATTTCACTTTATGAAACCAGATTTTGAAAAGACCATTTGGGTTATAATTTTATGCTATTTGCCCACAGTTCAGTTCTGCAAATGTAAAATTTACCTTCACTTTTCTTTCCTGCATTTCCATTAGGTTGTTAGTTTCCTTAACAGTTTTCATTCTGTGTTCTGCTCTTTTTCCAATACCCATTAACTTGGTCATTTGTTGATGGGTGACAGCATTTGAGAAGGCATGACATTTTGTGTGAAATGGCACCCATGTATATCAAAGTGGGCATGGAGGTGAAGACCCACTTGTTAGCTTATTACAGCCATGATTCTTTCTGTTGACAGAATGATAGCAATGATGAAACGGCCGTGCCCTACTTAGACTGTTTGTATGTGAATTGTTGTGCCTAACTAGGGTGACAAGTCTCAGATTTCAGCATCCTAGCTGTTGGAGAAAATTGAAGCAAAAGTCCTGGGCTGGCAGGAACTTACCCACATGCGTTGTGGGGAGGGGTGTCTATGGCAACCCGGAAATTCAATTTCAGTTTTCTCCAGGGAACCCAGCCAGTGGGCTGTTCCCTGGTCTGGACCCCGCTGGGCTGTGAGTGGAGTCTTACACGCTAGAGTTGGGGCAGAGGGGTGCGCATGGAGTCATGGGGTCAGGGTTGTGTGTGTGCGCACGCACATGTGCACCACGTTGTCCTTCCTGTCCCTGCTCCTAAGAGCCACAGGCTCAGGGGGGGTGTGTGTGTGTGTATACATGTCAACCCCTGCTTTTGGGGGAGGGGGGGTTCTGTGTGTGTGCTTGCGCATGTCATACTGTCCCATCTGGCCCCACTCCTGGATGGTGTGTGGGTGTGCACACGCACCCCTGGGTTGTCCCAGTGCTAAGTAATCGCAGCA